GAGGGCTTCAAGGGCTGGACGTGTTGCGAACAGAAATCCACGGATTTTCACACTTTTCTCAACTTCAAAGGATGTAAACATTTATAATTGTTTTTGCATTCTTCTCACGCGCTCTCTCTCTCTCTCTCTCTGAAGGCAAACGCGGGAAACACTGTTCTAAAGAGCGAGAGTTGAAGAGCGAAGAGAAGAAAACGGTTTCTGTTGCGGAAGTGGAACCGGAAGTCGTTTCCATTGAACGCGACGACGAGTGGCGAGAATTAATAATTCGGGAAATGGAATCAGTTTTCGCCGAAAGTAAAGAAAGTTTTGCGAAAAAAACGCAAATTTGTCAGAAATGTCACCAAAAGAGAGACGAAGCGCGAGAAGAGCAACAATGCCGCTTCCACTCGGGCGCAACCATGTGAGTGAGAGCGCGCTGTAATCGCCGCGACTAATGCTAATTCTCTCGCAGTTTCCACGAGACGCTCAAATACTGGTCGTGTTGTCCGCAAAAGAAATTCACGGATTTCTCCGAATTCCAAGAATTCCCCGGATGTCAACAATCGCCGCGTCACGCGTTCGCCGTTCCCGAGGCCCGGGTGCGGCGCGACTGGTTCCAGACGCCCACTCACGTCACGCTCGTGCTCTACGGCCTGAACGGCGCGCGCGCAGCCAATAGTCGCGTTCGCAGCGACGGTCACGTGATTAGGGCGGAGTTCGGCGACGCGGAGGGCAACGCCCTCTTCAGCGAAGAATGGGAACTGTTTTCGCGGATTTCGCAAAAGCGGTCGGAAGTGGTGGTGGAGAAGACGCGCGCGGAGTTGCGGTTGTCGAAGGAGAGAGCGCGCGAACAATGGACGCAATGTTTAGAAATCGAATGAATTTTATTTAACTTTTGCTTAAATTTGTTATTCTTTCTGAAAATCAAATAAAATTCAAAAATCAATGTTTTGTCTGAAAAGAGAAATGAAGGAAAGGAAGAGAGAGAGCGAGACAACAACGAGAGAGAGTTAGAGCAGAGAGAGAGAGAGACACGTGACACGCATTATACCTTCTTGGCGGCGCCGGCGCCCACTTTCTGCTTCTTGGTTCCGCGCACTTTCTTCATGCGATTCTTGCGCTCTTTCCTCTGCTTTCGGGCCGTCTTCTCGCGCGTCAACAATCCGTTCCGCACTAAACGGTATTTCGGTTCGAACTTCTTCGCGAAGTCCAGCGTATCGTAAATCAACGCAAAACCGGTTGTCTTTCCGCCGCCGAAGTTGGTCTTGAAGCCGAAGGCGAACACCACGTCGGGAGTGGTCTTGTAGAGCCGCGCCAACTTCTCGCGCAACTCCACTTTGGACACTGTGGCTCTTCCCGGGTGAAGAACGTCCACCACCTGATCGGGAGAGACAATGAGACACGTGACACTCACTCAGCGTTCTTACCATTTGCTTCCTCGCGAGCAATCTGTTTGTCATGAACTTTCGCGTCCGAAGAGTGCACGAAGTCGAGTCCGCCTGAAGGGGAAAGCAATGGAGTGAAAGATTGGGTGAAATGGGGGCAAAAGTGGCCGAAAATTGGCCAAAAATTAATACCATTTTTGTGGAGAAAAATGTGAGAAATGTTGACAAAAAGGAAAAGGAAGTGAAAAAGGGTTTTAAATCTCTCCACAAATTACGGCGCGAAATACGTCGACAAATGTTTGATTGGATTTGTTGTTCGAATCGAACGGAAAGTGAATTCAAAACACAATTAGAATTGAATTCGAATTCAAAGAGAGTTTTGAATTCGAATCTCGAATCGAATGAAGAGAAGAACGAAAAGCGAAGAGAAGACGAGTTGTTGACAGCTGTGAGTGAGTGCGCAGACGCAGAGAGAGAGCGCCAAACGCGATGACAACAACAATGCAGAAGAAGTGGCGAATCGGGAACTCGAGTCAAGTGTCGCGCGAACAGTGGCGCCAATTAGGGGCCAAGTGTTTGGTCACGTGTTTGTCCACAACGCGAGAGTTGCGGCGATTGGAGAGGAAGAGAGCGCCGCCGCCTATTGATGGCCAGTATTGGGCGGAAGCGATTCGCGACGCGCGGCTCAACAAAGACTGCGCTCTGGTGTTGCGCGTGAAGTGGGAGGGCTATGAGGAAAGGGTGAACACGTGGCAAACGGTGAAAGACTTGAGCGGAAGTGACGTTCTCTTCGAGCTCTACTTCCGGCACTCGTTCGNTGCACTTCGCCGACGAGGGCTACAAAGCGGGTGACGTCATCGGCTTTCTGCTGGAACTGCCCTCTGGCGGCCAAACAGCGCTTCCGCAGACCTATAAAGACAAACCTCTCGTGAAGTTCAAGAGTTATCTGTATTTCGAGGAAAAAGACGAAATCCCGAAACGCGTTCGCGAACTGCGCCCTCTGGCGGGCAGTCGTCTCGTCGTCTATAAGAACGGCCGCGAGATCGGCACCGCTTTCGCCGACCTCTTCCACGGCTATTACTACCCGTCGGCGTCGCTCTACAAGAACGCCGCCGTGACCTTCAACTTCGGCCCCGACTTCGCGCACGCGCCGTCGCGCAGCCACAAAGCTCTCTCTTCCGTGGTTTGCGAACAACAGACGGAACAAAGTCTCAGCGATTGTTTGTATTTCGTGGAGAACGAGGGAAAACTGCGTTTAGACATCTTCTACGGAAACTGACACTTTATTTACAATAAACTCATTCAACACTCGCTCTCGTCGTCCCAGGCGTCGCTGTCGTCGTCGTCGTCGCCCCCGCCTTCGCTGTCCGACAACTCGATGGCGACTCTGCGCGCGAGAATGGACGCCACGTCGTGCAGGGGCGTGCACTTCTCCACCTCGCGCTGCTTGCAGTCCTCCACGCGCTTCAGTTTGATGCCCTCGCGAATGGCCGCCAAGAGATCACTGCGCGGATCCACGATTCTTTCCTTCACTTCCACTTTCTTCAATTGAATCGATTTCAGTTCAGAAACTGTCGGCAATTGCTGTCTCTTCTCGCCGCCGCCAGACGGCAGCATCGGAGGAGGCGGTGGGGGCGGGGGTTCGGGCTCCACCCCGTTGTGCGCCGTCTCGGGGGGCGGAGGGGGCGGCGGCAGCGTGTCCCGCACACGTGAGCGCTCGTGCTGTTGACTACTTTGTGTGTGTTGGGGAGTGGAGGGCCCGGAAGAGGGCGGTGCGGGCGGCGGTTGCGAGGGGCGACTGGCGGACGTTTGGCGGCGCGTCGCTATGGAAACCAAACAATTAGATTACTGGCAATGAAAGCATGATTCAAACCGTAGATCTGCTGCGCGTTGTATTGATTCAATTGTTGAACCTGGTCGTGCTCGTACTTCGCGCTCCACTGCGGCGGCGCGTGGTTCTCGATGTAAAAGCCGCTGTTCAGCTCCAGACTCTGCGGCCTTTGCTCCTCCTGGAAGTGCTCCTCCCCATTGCTCTTCTGCTCCAGAATGAACTCTCCCTGATTGGTCATCATCTGCCGATAGCGCTCTCTAGTGTTCGCCGGTTGTCTCGGCTTTCGGCTCTTCTTGTGCTCTAAAGACAAACATATTAATGTCAACAATGACCACGTGATCGCGTACCGGAAGCGAGTTTCCCCCGCGGGGCGCGCGCCCTCCCGGCCAGCGCCTTCTCGGTGTCGGCCAGCATCTCCTGACGCCACAAGTCGAAGAAGTAGTTCGGATCCGTGTAGAACTTCAAGCCGTCCTTCCCGTCGTCCCTGTACACGTTCAGGGCGCTCAATGCGGGCGGGGGGTCGCACTTGGCGTAGACGGCGTGGATATTCGTGGGAATGGTGTCGCGCGCCACCACTTGTTGTGCAAACAGAAGCGACGACTTGAACGCCTTCCGCAAGTGGATGTCCTGCAGCGACACTTCCTCCACAGTCGAGTCCAGGGACAACACCTTATCCCCCAAGCGGTCGATCCGCGACTGCAGCGCCGACGAGCGCAACACCAGAAGCGAGGCTTCGCTGAGAATGGATCCGAAGAGGTCTTCGGCGAAGCGCGACAGCGACGACAGCTGGCGGATGATGTTGGCGAGAGTGCCGTTCGTGACGCACTCCAACTCGTTGGGGATGTTGATGGCCAGCTGTCCCGCAGAGTCCATGGGAACGCAGCCGCGGCCGCACGCGATCGGAGCGATCACTCTCTGCTCGAAAGGCATCGCAAATAACGCCTCTAAAAATGGCGACAATAATGAACACAAATTACGTCGACTATAACGCCATCTCTTTATTGAAATTGTGAGCAATTTTTGCATAGTTTTCACGCGAAGAACAAAATGACAGGAATTTGACCGCAAGTGACGTCAGAGACCGAACCGGAAGTCATTTCCGACTTCTCTGTGAACGAAAGCGCGCGCTTCAGGCGCTCGAAACGCGACGGCCGGCGATAGCCCTGAGGGGGCGGCGGTCGGGGCGGCGGGTTCGGGGTGGGCGGGGCGGAGGCGGAGGCCACGCCCTCGTCGCACACGTGATCCCACGCGAAGTTGAAGATGACGTTCTCCGCGTTCCCGGTCTTGACCTTCGCGGCCAACTGTCCGCCGATGCCGTAGAAGAAGTGAAGGTCGCGACTGGCGTGGAAGCGCGCGCCCGACGGCNTCCCGGTCTTGACCTTCGCGGCCAACTGTCCGCCGATGCCGTAGAAGAAGTGAAGGTCGCGACTGGCGTGGAAGCGCGCGCCCGACGGCCGTTCCGTCGCCTCGATCTCCGCCGAGACCTCGAACTCAACGTTCGCTTCGATTTCGAACTCTTCGTCGAACTTGACGTTAATTATGGGTTCTGAAGAGTCGCACTTCACGCGCACGCGCTGTGAAGCCACGTCCACGATGGTCGGCGCGTGGCGGCGCTCCCAGCGCACGATCCGCACCGCAATCTGCAATTAGAGTGTTAGTTCGAGTTTCTGTCGCCAGACGGCGCTCACCTCGAGTTGGAAGGGTTGCGGGCGTCGCGGGCCGTAAACGCCGACTCCGGCCACAAAGATGCGTTTGTTGACCGCGAATCGGAGCGTGCGTTTGGCCGCGGGATTCGGGAGCGCGTTGTCGAACGACTGGAACCGCTGGACGCAAAGGATTTGACCTCTGAGGCGTTGGAAAGCGCGCGGCGTCGCCGAGAAGTGGAGCGCTTTCCGCGGCCACGTCTTCTGCGCGCAGAGAAGAGCGCGCAGAACGTCGTCTTCGAGCACGCCTTCTGATTGGACAACATTTTTCAGGTTTTCGGCGCTCATGAGCGGAAAGCGGATCAGATTCACGGCTTCGGACATCACGTGCCGGATGTTGACGCGCGTCGGGCAGAGATTGCGCCGCAGACACTCGCTCTTCGTCCAGCGCGTGACCGCCACAAACAGATCCACTTCGCGCACCCGCAACAGGTCGTCCTCCAGCAGCGCGCACACCGACGCGAAGTCGCAGCGCACGAAGTCGGGCGCCAACACCACGTGACCCGCGAACCGCCGGATGACCTTGAGGGCGAGCGCCGCGACCTCCGTCTCGCCGAACGTCTTCGCGGACAACCAAATGGCCAAACAGTTGTCTTTGTCGATCGAGCATTGTTTCTCGCGATCTCTTCGCAAATCATTTCTTTTTTTTCGCCATTTTTTCGATCAATAATTTTGTGACGTTTTTCTCCGCAAAGAAATCCTTTTCCGAAAGAATCGCAAATCACGTGATCTGGAAATTCGCACACTCGCAGCACAACCACCGCCACAGCCACGCTCTCCCATTCAGACCCCTCTGCGCACACGACTCGCGATTCTGCGTGTTTTCGAATTGAGTGGAAATGCAGTGAAGAATGTCTTCGGAAAAGCCTTCGGATTCCGGGGCTTCCTCTTCAGCCACGAAGACAGAACCGAAACGCGTCGACAAATCCATTTCGACGCTCGAGAAGATCAAACGCTTCTTCTTCTCCAAAGAGGAATGGGAGGCGTATTTGATGGAGAAGTTGGACGAAGAGAACCGGAAGAAGGGTTCGTGTGTCACGTGACCGCAAAGCAAAGAATGAATTGTGTTTCTGTGTTGCAGTGTTGGGCCGCGAGAGGGCGCCGTCACGTGACGACCACCGAAACGTCGTGCTCTTTCTCGAGACGGTGTTCGCGACGCAAGAAGAGAAGAACGCGTTTCTCGAACAACAATTACAAAAACTGCAATCAGAAAGGAAATAAACTTTATTCCACAATTTCCGTCTCCCACTCGATGCGCGCGCCCCGCCACCGCGTCCCGATCACGCGCTCCACGGGCGTCGCCGCTGCCTTCCCCTCTCCTCCCCCACACGTGACCCGCAGCACACTCTCCGCGCCGCCGCCCAACCCGTCGTAATAGAAGAGGAGGAACGCGCCCTCTGGCGGCGCCTTCGCGAACAGAACGGCGAAATGGGATTCGCTTTGGACGACGAAAACCGGTTTCTGCGGAAACTTGTAATTCCGGCCGACCTGAGAGAGAGAGAGAGAGAGAGAGTTAGAGCCGAAGCATTCCAAGGACACTGACCTCGAGGTCGCCGAAGTGCTCGTGGAGGGACAGGAAGCCCACTTCGGGGACGCGCGTGATTCCTCTTAATAGAAGATTGTCGAGTTTGCGGTTGTTGTCGAACACGTTGGAAACGGCTCTTCCCGTCAACAGCAGGTTCACCATCTCCTGAGTGCAATAGTTGTGTCTCGCGATCAGACAGACGGACGCGTCGTCCATGTCGTGCCGCACGTCACGCGTCAACAGACACGACGCCAGGAAGGAGACGACGCCGACGGAGCGCGCGTTCTATAGAGACAGCGTTAAACACAGTGAGAGTGACGTCACGAACCTTTTGCAGCGTTTGGGAAATAAATTCGAATAATTTGTCGAAATCTTCGAAAACGTTGATTAAAATGCGTTCGAAAACGCCGTCTGCGGCGAAAGCGCGCGAAACCACGACATTGTTATTGCATTCACTTTTGGAGACAAAGAGTTAGACAAAGAAATAAAAACAGAGTTTCGAATACTTCGATTGATTAAAATGCGTTCGAAAACGCCGTCTGCGGCGAAAGCGCGCGAAACCACGACATTGTTATTGCATTCACTTAACCTCTGTTTCTCAATCTGTTTCTTTATTTTTGTCTCAAAGCTTATGAAGCGCTTTTCTTGCGCAAAAAACAGAGGTTAAGAGGTGTCTTACGCTCTGTTGCGAAACCTGTCTGTAACCGGCTCTATCTCGTTCCCCTCGAACACCCACTCGCACACGACGTGCGCCTGAATCGCGGCCAACACTCCACAGGGACCGCCCGCGCGCTGCACCAACCCATAGCGCACTTCCGGGTGGAACTCGAAGTACTGGTGGCGCCACTCGTCGGCAATCGCGTGAAACTCAGATCCGAAGAGCACGCGCTTCGAACTCTGAAACGAATCCCAATTAAGTCTCGCTTCGCTTTTCGCGCGCTTACAATGATCTCGTCGGCGGTCATCGGGCGACCAATGGGAGGGCGCGACGGCTGCACACGTGATCGCGGCGAACATTCCTCAAAGTCCTCGAAATCCTCGACTTTTAAAACTTCATTCATTTTTATTCAGAGATTCTTTGGTCGTCATGACAACCGAATAACAAAACAAACTCTTATTGGACGCGCGCCAACACGAGAGCGACGCGCGAAGGAATATAAACTAAGAGGGAATCGCGTCTTCCGTTGAACTCCTGGCCCGACGTGTGGAACCGCGTTTCCATGGAGACGCGGTCGTGGCCGCCGAAGCGCTTCTCGTCCGAGTTGAGCGCCACCTGGTAGACGCCGCTGTCATGGCAACCGACGCGGTAGTCGGGGAACGACTTCTCGTGATGGAAGTTGAAGACGAAGAGCGCGCCGTTCCTCTCGAACACCACCACCTTGTCCTCCTGGTGTTTGGTCGACACCCAGCCTCCTATTGGACGAGAGGGGTTAGTGTCACGTGGGAGTGACGTCACGCATACCCGAAGACGACAGCCATTGGAGTTTCTGTTCGCAGAAATTCATTTCCGCGTCGAAAGCGTTCAACAATGAATATCTGAGTTGCGAGTCGTCCACCAGATGCCACTGGCGGCGCGCGTGATGATAGGACTCTTGGTTGCCGACGCGCGGGAAGTCCAGCCACTCGGGATGGCCGAACTCGTTGCCCATGAAGTTGAGCCACGCCTCCCCGCCTATCAGAGGACAGAATGTTAATTCAAATATAATGAAGAGGAACACTTGCCGAGCGCGTGCGTGAGCAGACGGATCATCTTGTGGAGCGCGAGGCCGCGGTCGATGATTGGCGTGAGCGGAGAGACACGTGACATGAAGTCGTACATCTCTTTGTCCATGAGCCAGAAGGCGAGCGTCTTGTCGCCGACCAGCGCCTGGTCGTGGCTCTCGGCGTACGCCACTGTGCGCTCCTGCCAGCGCCTATTGGTCAGCGTGTGCACAATGAGCTCCAGATCCCAGTCCTCGTCGCGCTGGTGCTTCAGCATCTTGATCCACAGGTCGGGAATGGCCATGCCCAGGCGCAGGTCGAACCCCCCGCCCCCCTCCTCCACGGGGCGACAAAGGGCCGGCATTCCCGACACGTCCTCCGCGATGGTCGTGGCGTTCGGGTGGAAGCGGTGGATCACGTGATTGGCCAGTTGCAGGTAGTTGAAGGACTCGGTGTCTGTGTTGAGCCCGAAGTACTCGTTGTAGTCGCCGGAGAAGCCGTCAGTGATTCCGTGCGAGTGATACAATAGTGACGTCACGCCGTCGAAGCGGAAGCCGTCGAAGTTGTACTCATTCAAGTAGAAACGCAGGTTCGAGAGCAGAAAGCGCTTCGTCTCCCATTGCGTGAAGTCGAACAACCGAGAGTCCCATTGGGAGTGGAAGCCGCGCGAAGACGAGTGGAAGAAGGCGCCGGAAGTGCCGTCGAACTCGTTCAGGCCGTCCAACACGTTCTTCGAGGCGTGCGAGTGCACAATGTCCAGCAGCGTGTAGAGGCCGAGCGCATGCGCTCTGTCGATCAGGTACTTGAGGTCTTCGGGCGAGCCGTAGCGCGAGGACGCGGCGAAGAATGACGTCACCTGATAGCCGAACGACGCGTAGTACGCATGCTCCTGGATGGCCATCAGTTGTATGGCGTTGTAGCCCTGGCGCGCGATCCGCGGCACTATGTTGTCCGCGAACTCCCGATAAGTGGCCACTTTGTAGTCGGCCGACGCGAATCCGTTTAAACGCCGCTTCGCATCCTAAGCAACACACAATCGGGTCAATCGGGGGGAGGGGCGACGTGTGAGGGGGGGGCAACGTGAACACCTACCGGGCCAGTCGCACGTGAAGCGCTTCTCGTCGATGTGCACGATTTGGTGGTCCTTCAGGTTCCGCTTCACCGCAAACTCTTGGCCGCAATCCGCGAACTCCTGCGAGAGAGAGGGGGTGAGACGATTGTCACGTGACTATTGTATTGACTCACGCATCGGAAGGGTTTGCGCGCGGAGTGGTGTTCGGCGAAGTGGGCGTTGAGTTCGGCGCTCGTGACGAACGCGTGTTGGCATTGTTGGTGCAGACACTTGAAGACGTGCGGGTTCTCGTGCGTCGAGTGGTGTTTCTTGAGATAACAGCGCGAAGAGAAGCTCTTCTGACAGCCTGTGGAGGGGAAGGGTGTGAAGGCGGCGGCATTACCTCGAAGGCACATACCTGGCCAGTCGCACGCGTACAGCTTGTTGCCGGTGTGTCGCCACTTGTGGTTCTCCAGATCCTCGCGGTCTCTAAACATGGCGTCGCACCCGGGCTGAGGGGAGAGAGACAATGAACACAAGAACAATGGACAACAAGAGGCGAACCCATTGGCACTGAAGACGTTTGGTTCGCGACAAAAACACTTGTTTTTCGTTCTCTTTCCTCTCTTTCTCCGCTTTGCGTTCCTTTCGTTTCGCTTTCCTCTTCGGCTCTCTTTTGCTCAACAATTGTTTGCAATTCGCGACCACTTCTATGACGTCCGTCGCGTCCTTCTGCGGCCACGGGTCGCACACTTCGTCTCGCGTTTTCAACTCTTGTAATTGTTGTCCGAATTGAAACCATTTGTTGAGAAAAGTGTCGAAAATTGAATGACATTTACACCGAAAAAACGTGTTTTCGCTCAAAACGTTCATTTCGTTCAACAAAAAGATTATTTTCTTATACTTTTGACATTCCTTTCGAAGAAAACAATTCTCTTTTCGAATCAATTCCTCTTCTCCTCTCTCCATCGCTAACATTGTGTTCGCGTTGTAAACAAAGCCCACATTTGGGCCCTTTCTATGCGCGGCGTCAATGCGAACGCCTTTCCAAACGGACCGAATGTTCGGCGCATTCGTGCAATGCTTTCATTAATGGCTTTCGATCTTAACGTCGAATTCGAGGACAGATTTCGCGCAATGAGACCATGGTTTGAATGGAATGGACGCTCAGCTGAGCGCGACTTCCGTAATGAGAAACACGTGTAGTTTTTTTTAAAGAGACGTTAGTTTTAATTCAATTCAAAACATGACAAAAGCGTTGTTAAAAACAATTATAGTTTGAGTTTAGTTCTGCGCCAATGCCTGCGTTTGGCGTTATAGCGAATCGAGTTCCCGGTCTTCATGCGGATCCATTGCGGGACCGGACGGTTCTGCTTCTGCTTCTTCGCCAGTTTGCGCTTTATTCGGAACGTCTTGTGAGCCGACTGGAGGACAGAGAATCAGTTGTGAGTTAATTGTCGTCAGAATTAAGCGTTAATTGGGATTAAATTGATTCAAAATACAAACCATTTCTCGTTGTTTTCAATTCACGAGATTTTCTCCCAAAAGGAAAAGGAAACAGTTTTGTCTCCAAACGGTGTTGCAATCAATTACGTGCGCAAAGTGTTTACAAATAGTAAATTACGTGAACTTTATTAAAATTGATTTACAAATTCAGGCCAATAGAAGCCAAACAATGAAGAGCAGAGCGATCCACAGAAACAGTTTCGAGAGGAACTGGTCTTCGGCCGCCATCTCCGGCGAGTGCGGCTGCGCTGCGGGTCTGCCGTCGCCGAAGTTGAAGGTGGAGGCGAAGAAGCCGAAGGGGAAGGCGCCGATGCCGAACGACATGTGGAAGCCGCCGTCGCCCACACCGAAGTTCGGGAACGTTTGCTGCGGGCGAGGGAGAGGGGGAGAGAGGGGGGGGGAGTGAGTGGTCAGTGCATAAACAGTTTAATAAATAATTACGGCGTTATATTCGGGTTCCGTGCGCTGGCCTTGAGGTCGCGGCGGAAGGCGTTGGTCGCTATGGAAACGAGAGTTAGTATTATTGGCGTAATGATATTGTGGTCAAACCGGGGGTCTTTGCGAGCGCTTCCGCGGCCGTAAAGAGGAATGACTTTGTCGCGAGAAATGGCGGCTTTGCAAACGGGACACGTTTGGCGCGAGGGCTTCGTCTCGAGCCATTGGTGGAGACACGGCCAGCTGTGGACCAATCAGAGGTCAGTTAGAGGGGAGAGAGGGGGAGAGAACTGACCAGAAGAGATGTCCGCAGAGAGAGATGACGGCGTCTTTGGCCGTATCCAAGCAGATGTTGCACTCGAAGTTGGCGTCGTTCGGGTTGTCGGCGGCGGAAGTGGAGGGCTTGGGATCCGTTGTGTCGCCCGAAGGAACCGAAGAAGAAGAAGACATCGTTTGACAACAAAAATGGATCGATTGGAGACGTATTAAATGGCAAACACGTGACCAGTCGTCAGCCAATGAGAGCGCGTTTGGATTCGAGTGACGTTTGCTTTGTTTTTGCGCCAAATTTGAAATCAAAACACATTTATTTGAAACGATTTTATTAATTGGAAAACATGAAGGAAAACACGTGCGCGACGTTATAGCGCGAGACTCCCGACTCTCCCGACGCGAGCTTCACTTTTTTGCCGCGCGGAAGCACGAGAGTCGCGCACTGGTCGCTGTCGGCCGGGAAGAGACCGGCGGGACACGTGAGGTGCGGCAGATCCATGAACACGGTGTCCACGATGAACTCGATGGCTTCGGCGCCCTCTTTCCCGCACTCCTTTTGGGCGACGCGTTGAACACACGTTTGCCAGAAGTTGAAAGCGCAGCAAACGCTGGCCAGAGAGTTGTTCGCGGCGTTCGCGGCGTTGAGAGTCGCGATATAGCGGTTGTTGCACTCGTCCTTCACGGCGCGCGTCGACAGCGCCTTCTCGTGGACGCAGGGCGACACTCGCAGGAACCCTATGGGAGGGGAGGGCGTGAGTGGGCGTGGCTGAATGTGACGTCACTTACGTTCACGTTTCGGTCCTTTTTTGCACAAATCGTTGGAATGGAAGAGAATTTGGTCCAAAATAAGACCCGAAATCTCGCGATGAAGAGGAGTGCCGCACTTCTTGAAGTAGTCGCGAACACAGGCGCCGAACTTGCCCTTCAGAGTGCTGCGAGAGAGAGGGGGGTTAGAGGGGGCGGGACAACAACCAGTGCTCACCCGCAGAGACGGTCGACGCCGTCGGCTGTGGCGAGGATTTGCGTGGGATTGTCGGCCTTGTGCAACGAAGACAGCGGTTCCAGGCATTTGTCCACATCTTTCAAGTGACACGACAACTTGCCTCTGCCTTTGCCGCGATTGCGGCGCCGCTGAGCGGAAGTCAGGGAAAGCAGAGAAAGCAGGAGAAGAAGCGCCGAAACTGAGAGAAAGAGCGTTATTGAGAAGGAATTGTTGTTTCGCGAGACTTACGTTTGAAATGCATTTCGAATGAAAAGAATTTCCAAAAAAATCCACAATTTATACGAATTTCGGGTTTTTTCGAAGGCTTTCGTGTTTTTCTCCCAAATCTCTCCCAAATCGCGTTCTCATTCTCATTGTTGACCCAAAAAGCGTTTCGAAACAAAGCTTCGAATCGTTTCGTAAGAAATGCGCGAGAATTGCGTGAAAACAGGTTTTATTGGGATTTTGCAATACATTTAGTGTTGAGATCGCGTGACACAGGAATTGCGGCCGAATTTTGAGCCTTGTTTTGGAATTGTGTTCAAGATTTCGGTTTTGCTTTCATTTCGTCTGAAATTCGAATAAATGGTCAGAAAATGCGTGAAAAGAGAGAAACAATACTTTGTCTGATGTATTGTTTGCACGCATTCCTCGTCGTCAGGAAAAACACGTTTGAATTCGGATTTCGAATAAAGATTTTCTGCGAAAAGAGAGAATTGAAAGAAAGAATTCGAAAGCGATTTGAATGCAAACCCTGTTTGCGGGCAAAGAATGGATTTCGTATTCCAAAACACGCGACGATTGCGACACAGAATCCATGTCTGCGTCGATGCGAAAGACGGCCGAAAGATGGCGACAAAAGAGTTGTTTTGAAAACAGATTTTGATTGGAATCTCTTTTTCGGAAGATTTCAAGATTTGAGTCAAAATTGAGGAAAATTTACGACTTTTTGGAAAACTTTTGATTAATTTCTGAGTTGAGAAAAAGGGCGTAACTGTGACGTCATTGGGAGTGAAAATTGTGCCTTTTTTGACATTATAACTGTTTATTTGACGTCAGAATCGATGTTAAAGTTCAACAAAAGTTGTCTTTCATTGAGAATAACCTTCAGATCGAATGTCAAACCAGTGATCACGTGATGCGAGCGTTGCTTTCATTCGCATTTTAAAGAGAAAATGGAACCGATTTGCGATCGAATCGAAACTCTTCTGCAAAGCGACGGCTATTTGCGTCTTCACGAGAATGAGATCAGAAGACGGTTTCGCGAATTGACGCGAATCGTCGCCGAGATCGAGACTTCTGAGGGTTTGGACGCTTTCACGCGCAGTTACGAGAAGTACGGGATTCACGTGAACGCCGACCACTCGGTCACGTGTCTGCAGTGGTGTCCGAACGCGCGCGCGTTGTATCTGCGCGGCGACTTCAACCAATGGCAGATGAAGACGCACGCGTTCGAGCGTTTGGAGCACGGCAAGTGGAAGTTGGAGATCGCGGCGGTGGACGGCGCGCCCGCCATCGCGCACCTGTCCAAAGTGAAGCTGGTGGTGGAGACGCCGTCGGGGGAACTGCTGGACAGGTTGGACCCGTGGGCCACATACGTGGTGCAGCCGCCGCGCGACTCCGGCAACACTCTGTTCGATCACGTGTTCTGGAATCCCGCGCAGAAGCACGTGTTCAAACACGCGAAACCGGCGGCGCCGCGCAACCTGCGCATCTACGAGAGTCACGTGGGCATCGCGTCGGCCGACTACAAAGTGGCCACTTATCGGGAGTTCGCGGACAACATAGTGCCGCGGATCGCGCGCCAGGGCTACAACGCCATACAACTGATGGCCATCCAGGAGCATGCGTACTACGCGTCCTTCGGCTATCAGGTGACGTCATTCTTCGCCGCGTCCTCGCGCTACGGCTCGCCCGAAGACCTCAAGTACCTGATCGACAGAGCGCATGCGCTCGGCCTGTACACGCTGCTGGACATCGTGCACTCGCACGCCTCGAAGAACGTGTTGGACGGCCTGAACGAGTTCGACGGCACGAACGGCGGTTATTTCCACTCCTCGTCGCGCGGCTTCCACTCCCAATGGGACTCTCGGCTGTTCGACTTCACGCAATGGGAGACGAAGCGCTTTCTGCTCTCGAACCTCCGTTTCTACTTGAATGAATACCAGTTCGACGGCTTCCGCTTCGACGGCGTGACGTCATTATTGTATCACTCGCACGGAATCACTGACGGCTTCTCCGGCGACTACAACGAGTACTTCGGTCTCAACACCGACACCGAGTCCTTCAACTACCTGCAACTGGCCAATCACGTGATCCACCGCTTCCACCCCAACGCCACGACCATCGCGGAGGACGTGTCGGGAATGCCGGCGCTGTGTCGCCCCGTGGAGGAGGGGGGCGGGGGGTTCGACCTGCGCCTGGGCATGGCCATTCCCGACCTGTGGATCAAGATGCTGAAGCACCAGCGCGACGAGGACTGGGATCTGGAGCTGATTGTGCACACGCTGACCAATAGGCGCTGGCAGGAGCGGACGGTGGCGTACGCCGAGAGCCACGACCAGGCGCTCGTCGGCGACAAGACGCTCGCCTTCTGGCTCATGGACAAAGAGATGTACGACTTCATGTCACGTGTGTCTCCGCTCACGCCAATCATCGACCGCGGCCTCGCGCTCCACAAGATGATCCGTCTGCTGACGCACGCGCTCGGCAAGTGTTCTTCTTTATTATATTTGAATTAACATTCTGTCTTCTGATAGGCGGGGAGGCGTGGCTCAACTTCATGGGCAACGAGTTCGGCCATCCCGAGTGGCTGGACTTCCCGCGCGTCGGCAACCAAGAGTCTTATCATCACGCGCGCCGCCAGTGGCATCTGGTGGACGACTCGCAACTCAGATATTCATTGTTGAACGCTTTCGACGCGGAAATGAATTTCTGCGAACAGAAACTCCAATGGCTGTCGTCTTCGGGTATGCGTGACGTCACAGCCACGTGACACTAACCCCTCTCGTCCAATAGGAGGCTGGGTGTCGACCAAACACCAGGAGGACAAAGTGGTGGTGTTCGAGAGGAACGGCGCGCTCTTCGTGTTCAACTTCCATCACGAGAAGTCGTTCCCCGACTACCGCGTCGGTTGCCATGACAGCGGCGTCTACCAGGTGGCGCTCAACTCGGACGAGCAGCGCTTCGGCGGCCACGACCGCGTCTCCATGGAAACCCGGTTCCACACGTCGGGCCAGGAGTTCAACGGACGGCGCGATTCCCTCTTAGTCTATATTCCTTCGCGCGTCGCTCTCGTGTTGGCGCGCGTCCAATGAGAGCGGTTTGTTTTGTTATTCGGTTGTCATGACGACCAAAGAAATTATTGAATAAAATGAATGAAACTTTAAAAGTCGAGGATTTCGAAGACTTCGAACAATGTTCGCCGCGATCACGTGTTCAGCCGTCGCGCCCTCCCATTGGTCGCCCGATGACCGCCGACGAGATCATTGTAAGCGCGCGAAAAGCGAAGCGAGACTTAATTGGGATTCGTTTCAGAGTTCGAAGCGATTGTTATTCGGATCGGAGTTTCACGCGATTGCCGACGAGTGGCGCCACCAGTACTTCGAGTTCCACCCGGAAGTGCGCTATGGGTTGGTGCAGCGCGCGGGCGGTTCGTGCGGAGTGTTGGCCGCGATTCAGGCGCACGTCGTGTGCGAATGGGTGTTCGAGGGGACCGCGGATCTCGGCCAATGTCTGTCCAAAGCGTTGTCTCGCATTCTGTGGAGAATTGGAGACAAAAAACGCGTTCTTTTCGCGAAGTATTCGAAACTCTGTTTTTATTTCTTTGTCTAACTCTTTGTCTCCAAAAGTGAATGCAATAACAATGTCGTGGTTTCGCGCGCTTTCGCCGCAGACGGCGTTTTCGAACGCATTTTAATCAATGTTTTCGAAGATTTCGACGAATTATTCGAATTTATTTCCCAAACGCTGCAAAAGGTTCGTGACGTCACTCTCACTCTCTCTAACGCTGTGTCTCTATAGAACGCGCGCTCCGTCGGCGTCGTCTCCTTCCTGGCGTCGTGTGTGTTGACGCGTGACGTGCGGCACGACATGGACGACGCGTCCGTCTGTCTGATCGCGAGACACAACTATTGCACTCAGGAGATGGTGAACCTGTTGCTGACGGGAAGAGCCGTGTCCAACGTGTTCGACAACAACCGCAAACTCGACAATCTTCTATTAAGAGGAATCACGCGCGTCCCCGAAGTCGGCTTCCTGTCCCTCCACGAGCACTTCGGCGACCTCGAGGTCAGTGTCCTTGGAATGCTTCGGCTCTAACTCTCTCTCTCTCTCTGAAGGTCGGCCGGAACTACAAGTTTCCGCAGAAACCGGTTTTCGTCGTCCAAAGCGAATCCCATTTCACGGTTCTGTTCGCGAAGACGCCGCCAGAGGGCGCGTTCCGGCTCTTCCACTACGACGGGTTGGGCGGCGGCGCGGAGAGTGTGCTGCGGGTCACGTGTGGGGGAGGAGAGGGGAAGGCAGCGGCGACGCCCGTGGAGCGCGTGATCGGGACGCGATGGAAAAAAGCGCGCGTGGAGTGGGAGACGGAAATTGTGGAATAAAGTTTATTTCCTTTCTGATTGCAGTTTCTGTAATTGTTGCTCGAGGAACGCGTTCTTCTCCTCTTGCGTCGCGAACACCGTCTCGAGAAAGAGCACGACGTTTCGGTGGTCGTCACGTGACGGCGCCCTCTCGCGGCCCAACACTGCAACACAGAAACACAATTCATTCTTTGCTTTGCGGTCACGTGACACACGAACCCTTCTTGCGGTTCTCTTCGTCCAACTTCTCCATCAAATACGCCTCCCATTCCTCTTTGGAGAAGAAGAACCTCTTGATCTTCTCGAGCGTCGAAATGGATTTGTCGACGCGTTTCGGCTCTTGTTTCGCTGAAGAGGAAGCCCCGGAATCCGAAGGCTTTTCCGAAGACATTCTTCACTGCATTTCCACTCAATTCGAAAACACGCAGAATCGCGAGTCGTGTGCGCAGAGGGGGAGTCCTATGGGAGAGCGTGGTTGTGGCGGTGGTTGTGCTGCGAGTGTGCGGATCGCAGATCACGTGATTTGCGATTCTTTCGGAAAAGGATTTCTTTGCGGAGAAAAACGTCACAAAATTATTGATCGAAAAAATGGCGAAAAAAAAGAAATGATTTGCGAAGAGATCGCGAGAAACAATGCGTTCGAGAAGCGGGCCATCAGTTTGGACGACAACTCGCGCGTCAATAATAGCATCGAATTGAATGACGCGAACGACAGCGAAGACGTCGTCGACGACAACATGACGACAGAGACGTCGCTTCAGTCGCGTTTCGGACGTCTGCTGTCGTGCGAAGACATGGCGGACGTGCACTTCGTGGTGGGCGGAGCCAAAGGCCGCAAACTGCGCATTCCGGCGCACCGTCTCGTGCTGGCCGTCGCGTCGCCCGTCTTTCGGGAACTCCTGTTCGACAACGGCGTCACCGAAGACATTGTTCTGCAGGACTTGGAACCCATAGTGTTCCTCGAGTTCCTGCGCTTCCTCTACACGGACCAGATTCGGCTCCAGAAGGACAACGCGGTGGCCATTCTGTCGGCGGCCAAGAAGTACGACATCCCGGCGTTGGAACAGATGTGCAGACATTTCGTCAACTACTCGATCGACAAAGACAACTGTTTGGCCATTTGGTTGTCCGCGAAGACGTTCGGCGAGACGGAGGTCGCGGCGCTCGCCCTCAAGGTCATCCGGCGGTTCGCGGGTCACGTGGTGTTGGCGCCCGACTTTGTGCGNCGATCGACAAAGACAACTGTTTGGCCATTTGGTTGTCCGCGAAGACGTTCGGCGAGACGGAGGTCGCGGCGCTCGCCCTCAAGGTCATCCGGCGGTTCGCGGGTCACGTGGTGTTGGCGCCCGACTTTGTGCGCTGCGACTTCGCTTCTGTGTGCGCGCTGCTCGCGGACGACCTCTTGCGGGCGCGCGAAGTGGATCTGTTCGTTGCGGTCACGCGCTGGACGAAGAGCGAGTGTCTGCGTCGCAATTTGTGTCCCACGCGCGTCAACATCCGTCACGTGATGTCCGAAGCCGTGAATCTGATCCGCTTTCCGCTGATGAGCGGCGAAAACTTGAAAAATGTTGTCCAATCAGAAGGCGTGCTCGAAGACGACGTTCTGCGCGCTCTTCTCTGCGCGCAGAAGACGTGGCCGCGGAAAGCGCTCCACTTTTCGGCGACGCCGCGCGCCTTCCAGCGCCTCAGAGGTCAAATCCTTTGCGTCCAGCGGTTCCAGTCGTTCGACAACGCGCTCCCGAACCCGTGTGCGAAACGCACGCTCCGATTCGCTGTCAACAAACGCATCTTCGTGGCCGGAGTCGGCGTTTACGGCCCGCGACGCCCGCAACCCTTCCAACTCGAGGTGAGCGCCATCTGGCGATCGGAGCGCGAACTAACACTTTAATTACAGATCGCGGTGCGGATCGTGCGATGGGAGCGCCGCCACGCGCCCACCATCGTGGACGTGGCGCAACAGCGCGTGCGCGTGAAGTGCGACTCTTCCGAACCCATAATTAACGTCAAGTTCGACGAAGAGTTCGAAATCGAAGCGAACGTCGAGTTCGAGGTCTCGGCGGAGATCGAGGCGACGGAACGGCCGTCGGGCGCGCGCTTCCACGCCAGTCGCGACCTTCACTTCTTCTACGGCATCGGCGGACAGTTGGCCGCGAAGGTCAAGACCGGGAAGAGTTCGAGGTCTCGGCGGAGATCGAGGCGACGGAACGGCCGTCGGGCGCGCGCTTCCACGCCAGTCGCGACCTTCACTTCTTCTACGGCATCGGCGGACAGTTGGCCGCGAAGGTCAAGACCGGGAACGCGGAGAACGTCATCTTCAACTTCGCGTGGGATCACGTGTGCGACGAGGGCGTGGCCTCCGCCTCCGCCCCGCCCACTCCCAACCCGCCGCCCCGACCGCCGCCCCCTCAGGGCTATCGCCGGCCGTCGCGTTTCGAGCGTCTGAAGCGCGCGCTTTCGTTCACAGAGAAGTCGGAACTGACTTCCGGTTCGGTCTCTGACGTCACTTGCGGTCAAATTCCTGTCATTTTGTTCTTCGCGTGAAAACTATGCAAAAATTGCTCACAATTTCAATAAACAGATGGCGTTATAGTCGACGTAATTTGTGTTCATTGTCGCCATTTTTAGAGGCGTTATTTGCGATGCCTTTCGAGCAGAGAGTGATCGCTCCGATCGCGTGCGGCCGCGGCTGCGTTCCCATGGACTCTGCGGGACAGCTGGCCATCAACATCCCGAATGAGTTGGAGTGCGTCACGAACGGCACTCTCGCCAACATCATCCGCCAGCTGTCGTCGCTGTCGCGCTTCGCCGAAGACCTCTTCGGATCCATTCTCAGCGAAGCCTCGCTTCTGGTGTTGCGCTCGACGGCGCTGCAGTCGCGCATCGACCGCTTGGGGGATAAAGTGCTGTCGTTGGACTCCACAGTGGAGGAAGTGTCGCTGCAGGACATCCACCTGAGGAAGGCGTTCAAGTCGTCGCTTCTGTTCGCACAACAAGTGGTGGCGCGCGACACCATTCCCACGAACATCCACGCCGTCTACGCCAAGTGCGACCCCCCGCCGGCATTGAGCGCGCTCAACGTGTACAGAGACGACGGGAAGGACGGCCTGAAGTTCTACACGGATCCGAACTACTTCTTCGACTTGTGGCGGCAGGAGATGCTCGCGGACACAGAGAAGGCGCTGGCCGGGAGGGCGCGCGCCCCGAGAGGGAAACTCGCTTCCGGTACGCGATCACGTGGTCATTGTTGACATTAACGCATATTTGTCTTTAGAGCACAAGAAGAGCCGAAAGCCGAGACAACCGGCGAACACTAGAGAGCGCTACCGGCAGATGATGACCAATCAGGGAGAGTTCATTCTGGAGCAGAAGAGCAATGGCGAGGAGCACTTCCAGGAGGAGCAGCGGCCGCAGAGTCTGGAGCTGAACAGCGGCTTTTACATCGAGAACCACGCGCCGCCGCAGTGGAGCGCAAAGTACGAGCACGACCAGGTGCAACAATTGAATCAATACAACGCGCAGCAGATCTACGGTTTGAATCTTTGCTTTCATCGCCATTTACTAATCTGTGTTTGTTTCCATAGCGACGCGCCGCCAAACGTCCGCCAGTCGCCCCTCGCAACCGCCGCCCGCACCGCCCTCTTCCGGGCCCTCCACTCCCCAACACACCAGTCAACAGCACGAGCGGTCACGTGTGCGGGAGACGTTGCCGCCGCCCCCTCCGCCCCCCGAGACGGCGCACAACGGGGTGGAGCCCGAACCCCCGCCCCCACCGCCTCCTCCGATGCCGGCGTCTGGCGGCGGCGAGAAGAGACAGCAATTGCCGACAGTTTCTGAACTGAAATCGATTCAATTGAAGAAAGTGGAAGTGAAGGAGCGCGTGGTGGATCCGCGAAGTGATCTCTTGGCGGCCATTCGCGAGGGCATCAAACTGAAGCGCGTGGAGGACTGCAAGCAGCGCGAGGTGGAGAAGTGCACGCCCCTGCACGACGTGGCGTCCATTCTCGCGCGCAGAGTCGCCATCGAGCTGTCGNAGTGATCTCTTGGCGGCCATTCGCGAGGGCATCAAACTGAAGCGCGTGGAGGACTGCAAGCAGCGCGAGGTGGAGAAGTGCACGCCCCTGCACGACGTGGCGTCCATTCTCGCGCGCAGAGTCGCCATCGAGCTGTCGGACAGCGAAGGCGGGGGCGACGACGACGACGACAGCGACGCCTGGGACGACGAGAGCGAGTGTTGAATGAGTTTATTGTAAATAAAGTGTCAGTTTCCGTAGAAGATGTCTAAACGCAGTTTTCCCTCGTTCTCCACGAAATACAAACAATCGCTGAGACTTTGTTCCGTCTGTTGTTCGCAAACCACGGAAGACAGCGCTTTGTGGCCGCGCGACGGCGCGTGCGCGAAGTCGGGCCCGAAGTTGAAGGTCACGGCGGCGTTCTTGTAGAGCGACGCCGACGGGTAGTAATAGCCGTGGAAGAGGTCGGCGAACGCGGTGCCGATCTCGCGGCCGTTCTTATAGACCACGAGACGACTGCCCGCCAGAGGGCGCAGTTCGCGAACGCGTTTCGGGATTTCGTCTTTTTCCTCGAAATACAGATAACTCTTGAACTTCACGAGAGGTTTGTCTTTATAGGTCTGCGGAAGCGCTGTTTGGCCGCCAGAGGGCAGTTCCAGCAGAAAGCCGATGACGTCACCCGCTTTGTAGCCCTCGTCGGCGAAGTGCAGACCACGTGACTCGTGGAATTTGGTGCCTTTCCTGCTGCGGAAGCTGTAGCCGAACTTGTCGTACCCGAGAGGCGTCTGGATGTTCGCCCACTCCTGCGCGACGCCCAACCGCACGGCCGACCCTTCCGGCAGGTCGTCGACGCGCACCTCGAAGAACCAGTTGCCGGCGCGCACTCCATAGTTGGCGCGACACATGCAGTAGCCTTTGTCGCCGCTGACGGAACGCCTGTCGTCAGAGATCTGAAAGAGACACACAGTATTGTTGACGACAGCGAGACGACACGAGACGACACTTGCCTTGAGTTGCGTCGCCCTGTCGTGGAGAGAGAGCGCGACGGCGTCGGGCATGAGTTTGCGGCACAACCAGCCGGGAATGGGTTTTCCCGCCAAATCCTGCGATTCCTCGAACTCGTGGCGAAACGGGCCGTGAATGTCGGGTTCGGCCAACACATAGCGGTAGCCGTCCTTATTGAAGGGGTATTCGGCGGGGAAGCCATTCAAAGGCAGTTTCGGGAACGAGAGCTCCGACTTCTGGCGTTTCGCCGAAAGCGCGTCCGAAGCGTCCAGAAGACGCCGTTTGGCGCCGCGAGACGTCTTCGCAGAATCACGTGATTTCATGTGCGAGTGTTGTTGTGGAGAAGGGTTCGCGGAGTTGTCGCCGCGAGCGCCACCTTCTATGCGGTGTTAGCGCAGGAGTGGAGGCGTTGGTGGCGACACCTGACGGCCAGTCGTCTCAGACATGAGTCACGTGACTGCGTCGCTGTGGAGACGTGAGAAGATGGCGGCGAAGAAGTTGTGTCGAAACCTGGGCTGCAATGCGGAGTTCGCGGTGGGGGAGGAGGAGGAGTGCGTGCACCACTCGGGCGCCCCCTTCTTCCACGAGGGCTTCAAGGGCTGGACGTGTTGCGAACAGAAATCCACGGATTTTCACACTTTTCTCAACTTCAAAGGATGTAAACATTTATAATTGTTTTTGCATTCTTCTCACGCGCTCTCTCTCTCTCTCTGAAGGCAAACGCGGGAAACACTGTTCCGAAGAAAGAGAGGAAAAGAAGAGCGAAGAGAAGAAAACGGTTTCTGTTGCGGAAGTGGAACCGGAAGTCGTTTCCATTGAACGCGACGACGAGTGGCGAGAATTAATAATTCGGGAAATGGAATCCGTTTTCGCCGAAAGTAAAGAAAGTTTTGCGAAAAAAACGCAAATTTGTCAGAAATGTCACCAAAAGAGAGACGAAGCGCGAGAAGAGCAACAATGCCGCTTCCACTCGGGCGCAACCATGTGAGAGCAAGAGAACGCGTGAATGCCGCGACTAATCTACTTCTACTTTTCGCGCAGTTTCCACGAGACGCTCAAATACTGGAGTTGTTGTCCGCAAAAGAAATTCACGGATTTCTCCGAATTCCAGGAATTCCCCGGTTGTCAACAATCGCCGCGTCACGTGTTCGCAGTGCCCGAAGCGCGCGTTCGTCGCGACTGGTTCCAGACGCCCACTCACGTCACGCTCGTGCTCTACGGCCTCAACGGCGCGCGCGCAGCCAATAGTCGCGTTCGCAGCGACGGTCACGTGATTCGCGCGGAGTTCGGCGACGCGGAGGGCAACGCCCTCTTCAGCGAAGAATGGGAACTGTTTTCGCGGATTTCGCAAAAGCGGTCGGAAGTGGTGGTGGAGAAGACGCGCGCGGAGTTGCGATTGTTGAAGGAGAGAGCGCGCGAACAATGGACGCAATGTTTAGAAATCGAATGAATTTTATTTAACTTTTGCTTAAATTTGTTATTCTTTCTGAAAATCAAATAAAATTCAAAAATCAATGTTTTGTCTGAAAAGAGAAATGAAGGAAAGGAAGAGAGCGAGACAACAACGAGAGAGAGAGTTAAAGCAGAGAGAGACACGTGACACGCATTATACCTTCTTGGCGGCGCCGGCGCCCACTTTCTGCTTCTTGGTTCCGCGCACTTTCTTCATGCGATTCTTGCGCTCTTTCCTCTGCTTTCGGGCCGTCTTCTCGCGCGTCAACAACCCGTTGCGCACCAAACGGTATTTCGGTTCGAACTTCTTCGCGAAGTCCAGCGTATCGTAAATCAACGCAAAACCGGTTGTCTTTCCGCCGCCGAAGTTGGTCTTGAAGCCGAACGCGAACACCACGTCGGGAGTGGTCTTGTAGAGACGCGCCAACTTCTCGCGCAACTCCACTTTGGACACTGTGGCTCTTCCCGGGTGAAGAACGTCCACCACCTGATCGGGAGAACAACAATGAGACACGTGACACAGCACTCAGAGTGCACTTACCATTTGCTTCCTCGCGAGCAATCTGTTTGTCATGAACTTTCGCGTCCGAAGAGTGCACGAAGTCGAGTCCGCCTGAGGGGGAAAGCAGTGGAGTGAAATCAATGGGGAAATGGGGGCAAAAGTGGCCGAAAATTGGCCGAAAATTAATACCATTTTTGTGGAGAAAAATGTGAGAAATGTTGACAAAAAGGAAAAGGAAGTGAAAAAGGGTTTTAAATGTCTCCACAAATTACGTCCGCAAATACGTCGACAAATGTTTGATTGGATTTGTTGTTCGAATCGAACGGAAAGTGAATTCAAAACACAATTAGAATTGAATTCGAATTCAAAGAGAGTTTTGAATTCGAATCTCGAATCGAATGAAGAGAAGAACGAAAAGCGAAGAGAAGACCAGTTGTTGACAGCAGGCGTCGACTGCGCAGACGCAGAGAGCGAGAGCGCCAAACGCGATGACAACAACAATGAAGAAGAAGTGGCGAATCGGGAACTCGAGTCAAGTGTCGCGCGAACAGTGGCGCCAATTAGGGGCCAAGTGTTTGGTCACGTGTTTGTCCACAACGCGAGAGTTGCGGCGATTGGAGCGGAAGAGAGCGCCGCCGCCTATTGATGGCCAGTATTGGGCGGAAGCGATTCGCGACGCGCGGCTCAACAAAGACTGCGCTCTGGTGTTGCGCGTGAAGTGGGAGGGCTATGAGGAAAGGGTGAACACGTGGCAAACGGTGAAAGACTTGAGCGGAAGTGACGTTCTCTTCGAGCTCTACTTCCGGCACTCGTTCGGCCCGAAGCACGTGACCTATTATACTGAGCGCGACTTCCAGCACTTGGCGGCCATTTTGTCGGAGTTGACGCGCGACGAGTGCGACAAAGCGGTGCTTTTGATGGTGAGTGACGTCACGGACGGCGACGTCTTCCGCCGCACGGAAACGCAGTGGCGGGCGATGCGCTCACGAGTGCGCTTGTATTGCGAAGCGCTTCGAAACCACAGAACGGCCAGCGTTTGGGTGAAGAGGATTTTGATCCGACTTTCGGTCAAAGAGTTGAAAATCGAAGAGAATTTCGGAGATTTCCAACAATTCGTGACATTCTGTGAAAAGCGCGAGAAATGCGTCAAGAGTTTGAAACAATGGGAACGACGCGTGAATCTCGCGCTGAATAAAGAGGACAGGATTCGCGTGGAAAATGGCGTCGATTGTCAACAACTGCCGGAAATCCAATATCTGCTCAAATACTCGATTGTGGCGAAGATTGAGCCGAAGAAGCGCTCGTTTCCGTTCTTCCGCTGCGACTGTGAGGACGACTGCCGGAAGAACAGGACGTGTTTGTGCGCTCTCGCGCTCTACAGAGACAACAAGCGCTTCAAGTCCTCCAACATAGTGTACGAGTGCGGCGAGAGGTGTCGCTGCGGTCAAGAGTGTCCGAATCGGCGCATCCAGAAGGCGCGCGTCGGGCGCGACCTGTGCGTGTTCCGCACGCGCGACCGCGGCTGGGGAGTCATGACAACGCGGCGCCTCCCGTTCGGCGCCTTCATCATGGAGTACTGCGGCGAAGTGATTGATTCGACGCAAACGCTGAGAAGAGACTCGAATTACTTCTTCCAATTGGACGAAGAGTTCTGCGGACAGACGTTGTTTGTGGACGGCTCGCAGAAGGGGAACGTCGCGCGCTTCGCCAACCACTCGTGCGAGCCCAACATGGCCGTCCACTTGGCCATCGCTTCCGACGCGGATCTCGTCCCTCGGGTCGCCTTTTTCGCCTCGCGGCCAATCGCGGCGTTCGAAGAACTGACGTGGGATTACAAGCGGACGACTCTGTCGGCGGACGGCGACGGCAATTACGTGCACAGCGAGACCTCGTCGCTGGACAGCGGGTACGCGGGCAGCGGCGACGCCATCACGTGTTTGTGCGGCGCGAAGAAGTGCAAAGGATTCGTTTGAAAATCACGAGATTTTAATCATTTTTAAGTTAAATAAATTTTAAACACTTTTCAATTCAAACTCTTTCGCAATGTTCCCGATCTGCGCGTGAATCGTATGCGCGCGCACCACCGCCACCCCGTCGGCCAGACGCGCGCTCAGCGTCTGCGCCACATTGTCCGCCTCTTCTCTGCTGCGGTGAGCGGTGAGCGTCACGTGAAGCGCGTATTCTGGCGTCGCTTCCAACACAGCGTTGTTCGGGAAGCGCGCGACGGCGGCGTTGACGGCATTGATGATCGAGTGGTCGCGCGCCGCGCTTTCGGCCAACACTACGAAATGCCGGGACTCGTCTGCGCGCGAGAAGACGCGAACGGCGTTGAGGCAGAAGGAGAAGCGCCGCTCATTGTTGAGCTCTCGCGACAGAGAATCGCAAAAAGCGTTGATTTCGTGAAAACGTAAACAAAAAAAACCGTTAATTAGAGAGAAATGTCTTTTCGTTTGAATGACGAAACTATTGTTCAAATCTCGCACTAATTGATCGCAAAAGTCGTTCAAATCGTCGTCTAATTGGAGGAAAACGTGAACTAAAAATTGGTTTCTTTTTCGCGCGAAAACCAGCGATTCTTCGGACCAATTGTCACAACTTTTGTCTTCACTTTTGTCGTCGTTTTCGTCGAAGAGATTTCTCGCGGATTTAAGAGCCATTTCTGCCATAAATAACGTCTTCTGTTGTTTTCGTAGACGTTATTCAATGAAAGATGGATTCCAACGAAAATCCCGAGTTTTTGTCTGTTTTAAGCGATAATCACTTCACGTCTGAAGACATGAACGCTGTTATCGAAGACATCAACCAATCGACGCTCGAGGACGGCGGCGATCACGTGATGAACGATCTCTTGACCACAACTGTCATTAAGAGCGAGATTATGGACGAAACGACAGACGCGACGACAGCTAACGACGCGACGCCCGCAGAGACGACAGCGGAGGCGCCGGTCGAGGAGCCGATGGATCAGTTCACTGTGGAGGCCATTGTGGGGAAGAGGAAGCGCGCGGGAAGAGTCGAGTATTGCGTCAAATGGTTGGGCTTTTCGGGTAAAGAGTTTTGGCGCTGTTTTTGAGTTTGAATTTTGATTTGATTTCTGCTTTCAGACGACGAGAACACGTGGGAACCGATCGACAACTTGCACTGCGAGGTCAGTGACCTGTGAATGGGGTGAATGAACTTTGACTGAACTTTGTTCGCTTTCAGGAACTCATCGCCGACTACGAGGCCAACAACAAGACCGCAACCGCTTCGGCAGCGAAGAAGACGCCCGCGAAGAAGGGCAGAGCGGCCGCCGCGACGCCGAAGACCCCGAAGCGCGGCGCGAGCGACGGCTGGAGTCGCGGTCTGAAGGCGAAGCGCGTGGTGGGCGTGGCGGAGAAAGAGGGCCAATTGGTGTATTCGGTGGAGTTCGTGGGCGAGACGACGGCCGAAGAGGTGGCGGCGACTGTGGCGCGCGACAAGTGTCCGCAACTGGTGATCGCGTTCCTCCAATCAAAGCTCGTGATTCAGCGCAAAGGCCCGAAACTGCCGCTCGAGTCGTACCGCCCCCTGGCGTCCAAACAGTTCTCCATTTTCCGACAAAACTCTCAATAATTTCAAATACTTTTCATTAGTTTTTCATTTAAAAGACATTTTATTTCGCGATTAAAATCTTCGGTTCCTTTTGAACGAGTTCTGCATTCCTCCTCTCTGCTGCTGCTGCTGATGGTGGATGTACTGCGGCTGTGGCGGCGGCTGGAACTGCTGCGGCGGCGGCGCGTTGTTCTGCGGCGCCATGGAGCGCATGGAAGTGAGGAATTGGTTTCCGGTTTGCGCGAGATTCGCCGGAAGCGACTGTTGCTGAGATTGGAAGTCCGGCTAATGGGGAGAGAGCGTGAGAGAGTGTTCACACCTGTAATCAGCGCTTACCTGCACGTCGGACATGGAGCGCAGCGCCGCCTCCTGGCGATCCAGCAGTTGTTGCAAAGCGTTGGCCTGTTGTCGCAGTTCCGACTCCTGGCGCCGCAGAGAGCCCAAGTCGGCGTCGCTGCGCCCCCGCAACAACGCCTCCTCCTGTTGCCGCAGCAACGCCTCCGTCTGCCGCCGTTGCTCTTCGCGCCTGCGCTCAGACTCCAATCGCGACTCGCGTTCGGCGCACAGCTTCTGGCTCTCGTTCTCCATTTCGCGCAACTGTTCCCTCAAGACGCGCGTCCGCTCCTCCACCTTCAGCGCTTCCATCTGTTGTCGCAATCCTTCCCTCAAGTCCTTGAACTCCGCTTCCAACTGCTCTTTGCGCTGAGTTTCGATTTCCGCCAACTGCTTCCACTTCCGCGCCATCTGTCGAATGAAGTGTTAATACAAAGGTCAACGACCCTCACACTCACCTCCCACTCAATGGATCCCGGTTCTGCGAATCGCGGTCCGACCTCTCGTTCCATCCGATAGTCGTTGCTATGGAGACTGAGCGACTTCTCGAGAACGCCCTCCTCTTCGTCGCGCGACTCCAATGGCGTCACAATCACCGGAATCGGCGTCGAAGACAACAGCAGACATTCCGAGTGACACTTCTTGAGCGCCGCCAAAGACGAGGATTTGCGCGCGAACTCAACGATGCCTTCGCACAGAGAACGACCCCTAAGGACGACACAGACGTCAGGAGACGACACACAGACGACACTCGACGTACCTGTCGTCGGCCGACACGATGGCGCGCTCGACGGTTCCGAATGAGGAGAAGGCGAGATGAAGCAACTCGTTGGACACGAGGGGCGGCAGTTGCGTCACGCGGATGGCCGACGCGTGCGCCGCGAGCCTCACGCGCAGAGTCCTGCCGTCCAACGGCTTTCCGTCCAATTGTTGTCTCGCGTTCTCAGCGTTCACTCGAGTGTCCATTTTTATGAACGAAAACTGATTTCCTTTTCCGATATAAATGTCCGAAATTTGTCCGAATTCAGAGAACAGCGCGCGAAGTGAGTCTTCGGTGACGCTCTGCGGGAGGTTCGCGACGAAGAGTCGACATCTGCCCGAAAACTCGTGCAGAAGAGGCGTCGGCTGCAGATCCCAAGCGGGCGCTCCCGTCAGTCGTGTCCACTGTTGGTCTCTTCGCGCGAATCCAGCATTCGATTCCATTTTCCGCTTTTTGGTCGCATTTTTGGCCGAATTTTCGACTTTCGACTCGTTTTTCACGATTTCTGACATTTTTCGGCTCAACAATGAAAAGCGTTGAACGCATGCGTCGACTCATAGAATAACAATAATCGATACAAATGTGACATAAATTACGTCAAAAAAGTTTAATTTAAAATTCGAATAAAATAACAAAAAAAGACTAATATTTTTGACAATAAATTACGACAAAAATTGAGATCAAATTCTATAAATTGTGAGCAAAAGTGATTCAACGCGAAGAAGAGGCGGAGTCTTGACGTCGTTTCCAAATCGGCGAATCCGATGACGTCATCGAATGGTCTTTAGAGCGACAGCCAATCGACACGTCTTTCCCGCAGAGACCGCACGCGACGGTCTCTCCCGTCGTGTCGTCCTCTTTGACGACAGAAGCGACGACAGAATCGGACGACTGCTTCGCCGCCGACGCCTTCAACTGACACGACATCTGGCGGACGTCTTCGCGGATTATTTGCCGAATCGTCCGCAAGAAGGCGTTCCGATATTCGCACGAACTGTTGGACAAGCGGTAGATCTTCTCCGAGCGCTTCCCGCCGCTCGTCTTCAGTTGGATCAGTTCCCACCGGAAGTCGTGTTCCGATTCCTGATTCTGCGCCGAAGCCCTCACCTGTACTTCACTGCAGAGAAAAAGAGACATTAGACGACAGCGACGTCTGGGACGACACTCACATCACGGGAATGAGGGTTTGGTGGCGAATGATCTCCACTTCGGTGCGCGACGACTGCGACGACGCGTTGGACGCCGTCTGACGTTTGTTGCGACGAATGGTTTCTTTGCAGAGAAAGACAACGAATTGTTTGAAAACAAAACACATTGAATGCAATTCAACGCCTTTTCGCGAGTTTTTCCCCAAAAACTCCATCGAATTGATCCATTGGATGCCGCCGTACTGTCGAAGAAGAAGACAATGTGGTCAAGACTACTCAAAGCAAAGCAACGCTCACGTGAATCAGGGCCGTGGGCGAGAGGTCGACGCTCTGTTGGCTGACGCGCGCGTGACTTCTGGCCAAGTGCTCGAAGATGGCGCCGTATTCCTCGTGAATTCGTTGCATTTCATTGATGTGTTCGGCCACTGAAACAGAGACGAGGTTAGACGACATTAGACGACACTCGACGACACGCGACACTTACCGCTTTCCACGGCTTTCAACGCGTCGTCCAGACGACGACTTTGCGGCGACTCTTTGGCACAAAAGCTCTTCATTTGCGACAAAAGGAGCGGATATTTGAGAACGCGTTGAATGGGTTTTATGAGGAAGGATTCCAGCGATTGCGCCAATTGGCCGCTCGAGCGCCGCGACAGCCATTCCTTCAGTTGGACGCTCTGCGCGCTCTTCTCGTCCGACAGGAGCTTCACAGCGCGTGAATGCGAGGCGCAGAACGTCGAGTAATTGCGGAAAGCGTTGGAATGCGAGAGGAAAGAGCGCGCGATCGCCTCGACGTCCAGCGGCTGGTTGTCGTCGCCGTTGTCGTCAACAATGGATTGCAATTCGCTTTTGAACTGTTTCTGGTTTCTGATGATCTCTTTGATGGATCCGAACAGCACTGCAATGTCCGACTGCGACAGAAGTGTCGTCTCGCGCGACAACGGCTCCAAATACAGCGACAACAGCTGTTCCAGCGATGAACAATAGGACACTTCGGTGTCCACGAGCTCTTTCACCACTTTTCGCATTTTGTCCGAAGAGGGCGTCGCTGTCGTCAACTGTCGTTCGGGGCGACGGCTGTCGTCAGCGTTTTGTGCGGGAAAATGGATTAATTGCGAGAAAGAGTTCTGTTTGGGTAAAAAAGAGTCCACTTTTGGCACAATCAGGTCTTTGAGTTGTTCGCTGTTGATGAGAGTGACGGCGTTCGCGTCTTCCGGCGGCGGCGGACACACCAACGACTCTATCATGTCGTCCGTCGTCTCGACGACGTTCTGGTCGTCGACGACAGCGCCGTTGTCGTCGTTGTGCTGAGTGTTGTCTCGCGCCGAACGGATCATCAAACAGAGATTGCATTCCTCCTGAAGAAGCGATTCCACAAACATCATGTCCAAGTCGTGAACGAGAGCGCCGTTAATGACCACCAATTCGTCGAAACGTCGCAAACCATGAGAAGCGGCGATGCTTTGACTGCAGGGGAGAGACGACATGAGACAACACGAGACACACGTGACGACAAGTGACGACAACTTACTTTTCGACGCGCGAGACGTAAACACACAAATCATTGGCCGTTAATTCCGATTCGACAGAAAAGCCGAAAAGCACTTCATTGGTGTCACGTGACAACTCCACTGTGAACAACACTTTGGGAATGATTTCCAGCAAATCGCGCGACAAATGGCCCAACAATTGGCTTCTGTTGACGATTCGCGAGTTCTGAGAGACGTAATACTCGCGAGCGTTGGAATGCGAAGTCATTAAATGCAAAAGCAATTGTTCGGACGTCCACTCAGACGACACGCTGACGACGCGTCGTTCGCCTGTCGTCGTCATCAACACTTCCACTTCTGTCAGTTTGTCGTCGCGTGTCGTCGCCAACACGTCCTTCTCTTCGCTCTTCTGTCGTCGCAAAAGACTTCCGACAATCGACGGGTTCTTCGCGCAATTGAACGCTAGAGAGAGAGAGAGAGACTCAAAGTTAGCCAATGAGTGACCACTGAGTGACCGACCGTGAAGCGAGGAAACGGTGAAGACGCCCAAACGGTTCAACTGAGACTTCGTTCTTCTGTTCGTCAGCGAAAGCGTTGTCTTCGGATTCGGCATTTCGTCCGACGACTCGACGCTAGAGGAGACAGAGGGACGACATGAGAGACGACACAAGACGACAAGTGACGACAACTCACGCGCTGAGATAGCACTTGAGACGAAATATTTCGATTCGTTGTTTCTCGTGCTTCTCCTCCGAAACCATTATTGCGTTGACGAGCGCCTGTCGTTGCTTCTGGTCGTCGGCGGCGACGCACGTCAACAACAGTTCCGTCTCGTGCCGCGACCGCGCGTCCGCCTCCAGAGTGCGTTCGATGCGCGCCATCTCCTCCGCGATCACGTGACTCACGGCCGCCTTCCCCGAGTTGCGGGCGATCTGCGCGGCGCACGCGCTGTGAATGGCGGAAACCCAGGCGTCGCGCTCCTCGAGACACGGGGCGTCCAATAAGTACGCGTCGCCGAACGCTGTGGACAAACAGAACACGTGATCGCGTTTCGGGTGTTCGGGAACCGTCTGCACGAGACACGCGTCCACGAAGATGAGGTGTTTGGGCGCGGCGTCGATGGCGTGGCCGTCACGTGACTCGCAGTTGTAGAACAGAAGCGTCGTTCCCTTCAGACACACCCAATATCTATCGGGAAAAGAGGGTTAATGACCTCCAAATCAACCCATTCACAGGTCACTGACCCCTTCCAGCCGCGACGACGCGCCAACTCCAGCGAATGGCGTTTCCTTAGCAACCATTTCTTGACGCAAAGAAAGCCCGATTTGCGAACAGATCCCAAACACTCGAAGTTGGCCGCTGTTGAAGAGAGAGACGTGAGAAGCCGTCCAGTGACGTCACACTCACCCGAAGTGCCGGAGCGCGCGCGCAGAGGCGACTCGATGTCGTCGTCGTCGCTGATGGCTGTCGTCAGCGACGCCTTCTCGTCGTCGGACACCTATTGTTGGGAACGAGAGAGGAATGAACATTATTGGCGTTAAGATTTAAATACTTTGGAAAGGAACGCGAATTCGCAGTCGTCGACGCGAACGCCATCTCTGTGTCTGTGAACGAACCGCGGCTGTCCTTCGGGGGAACGGAAGGGTGAGAGAGCGCGACAAGAATGGGCAAAGAAAACCTCGTTCGCAGAAAAGCCGCCAATCGAACACAAACGGACAAAACGGGTTCATTCGATGCGAGACACGACTGCGACTGCGCGCGCGGCGGAGCTTACCTCTGATGACGTCATCATCGACGCGATCGATAACGACTCGAACGGCAAGTGCGACGCCAGAGACGACGCGTGGCCGCCGAGCGAGCAGAAGGGCAACTGGCCGTCGATGGAGAGCGTGTCGAGGATGGGCGCGGAGGAGCGGCTCAGCCCCAGCAGCGACTGCGACGAGAGGGACTTGAAGCGCTTCTCCTCCGCGCGGATCTGCTGCAACTCCTGCTGCACTTCGCGCATGAGCGTCGCCACGTCGTCCATCGACTCCTTCAGCAACGACTCGAACACTTCCATCGCGTCTTCGCGCGACTCCCGCGACGTCTGTGTCGCCAGTCGTCGTCGCAGTTCCGTCTCGTAGTCGTCCAACAATGCCGTCTCTTCCGTCACGCGGTGGCGCGGCGTCGGCGGCGACGCGTCGCTATGGAAACGCAGAGGTCAGCGTTGGGACACAGATATTGTTGGACTCACGTGAGATCCACGCATTGCGACCTTTCCAGCGAACGTCTGCGTCCTTCGAGCGACCGATGAGAGCGCGATCTGTCCATTGTGTCACGTGACTGACACATTTCCGACAACGATTTCGGGCGCTCGTGATGGCGCGCGTCCTGATTGGCTGACGTCACGTCTCGCAGCATCCGCTTCAGCGCTTCCGACGAGAGCGTGGAAGCCGTGGTTGTCGTGATTCTGTCGCACATCAGGTCGTCGGTCGTCGTCGCCGTCGTCGCCACGCGTCGCACGTCTTCCTGAGACTTGGAGCGCAATTGCGCCGCACTTTGCGTCTGAGTCGTCGTCCGCGGCGTCTGCTTGTCGTCCTCCGGTCGTCGCGCTGTCGTCGACCGCATCTCGCGCTGACTCTTGGCGCGCATCTGGTCCTCCATCGAGCGCACGTGACCTCTGCAACGATAATGACATCACAATGACGTCACTCCCGCTCTCGCACTCACCGATTGGCGAAGTACTGCTGTCTCTCGTGTTGGCGCCGAACGAGCGATCCGTCGCTTTTGGACGACTGCGTCGTTCCCGACGAGTCCTGGCGCGTGAACGTCGCGTAACGAATGCGTCCGTTGCGCTGTTTGTGCAGCGCGTCTGACGTCATGCAATCACACGTGCATTGGTTTGCATTCAATTGTTGCAAATACTTCTGCTTCGAAGGGCTGTTGGGTTGCGACGAATGCGTCCTTTGCGTCGTCTTCGACGTCGCGTCGTCTCTCCTGTCGTCGCGTTTGTCGCCTCGAAGCGAATAACTCGATTCCGCGCGCCGAAAGTCGCGCTGCGCCGAAATGCACTCCCGGAAGGCGCGCGCGTCGGCCGCAGACGTGAAGTTGAGACCCCAGGTGTCGCCACTCACGGCGTCCTTCCAGTACACGAAGCAATTGGACGCCTGACCCAAACGCGTGGCCGATAACCACGTGTCCAGCACTTTGTCCACTCGCGAGTTGTACGCCGTCACGTGGAAGCGCTGCTGCGCCTGCGTCACAGTGACCGGCACCAAGTCGTCCGAGAGTTGCGTCCAGCGCACGGCGCCCGACGACGCCGAGACGTGGAACACTTCCGCCCAGAGCCGCAACACGTGACCGTCGCGTCTTCCCAGCGCCTGTTGGCCGCCGTCCGCGCGCGACACTCTCTGCTGAGGCAACGGCTTGGGATTGCATGTCGAACACCTGCGATGACGTCAGCAGTGGTCAGCAAATGGCGAAAGAGTGGCGAAACTCACGATATTTTGTTGCCCATGTGTTGTGCGCGTGCGTCCAACCAATCGAAGCGTTCGAAAGACTATTATTCCGTTTTTTGAATTCAAAATTCTGACATTTTATTCGACTTTCGGTTCGAATTCTTCGTCCAATCAGAAGACGAGAATCTCATAAAACATTTTGACATAAATTTCGAACAATTTCTCAAAAATTAAATCATTTTTCGCTAAAAAGTCGACAAAAAAACGGAAAATGTTTTCAATTCTTCCGAAGATTCTCTCCTCTGCGCGCGACTGCGCCCAAAGACCTATTGTTTGGCCATTAATTACGTCCCGAAATGAAGTTCCAAATCATTTTCTCCAACCGAATGTCGAAACCGTTGATCACGAGAACTGAAGAGAGAAAAGGTTAATGACCTCTGACTCGAAGGTCAACTTTTATTACCGTTTTTGCGAAAGCGTCCGAAACTCGCGTCGACTTTGTTGACGAGAATCACAACCAGTTTCTGGTCTTCCGGCCATTCATTCACTTCCGGCGCGTTTTGCGTCACGAAAAACACACACTTTTTCCACTCATTCGTGACGTCAGCGAACGGGAAGATCACGTGATCGACGGCTGAGCCGACGCTCGTGTAAGGAATGACGTCACCGCCGACGCGCGCGAAACAGTGGAAGGCGTTGACGAAGAGTTGCGCGAAGAGTCCGACGGTCACGTGATCCAACAGATCCGACTTTTTGCGTTTCTTTTTCTCTAGATTTTTGAGAAATTTTTGCTCCAAATCGAGACTCGGATCCAAAACGAAGAGAACTCTCGTTTCGCTTCTGTCGCGCGTTTCCATGGCAACCAGTTTTCGGGAAATTCGTTCCAAAAATCGCAGTTTCAGAACATTTTGTTCGCAATAATAGAGACAGAAGTCGCGCGAGAAGTGGTTCTCGAGTTCAGACATCGCCTCCAGGCGGCGCCACAGCGTTCTTCTCAGCTGCGAGTTGTTTGGGAAGCGCGCGACCACTCGGGGAATGGCGCGAAGAAGCGCGTCTTCGGGAAGCGTTTCGAGAATGCGGTTCCAAATGATGGGAAAGCGCGCGAAACCCGAGTTCAACAATCGGAACCAGTTTTCGCTCGAAATCTTCGTTTCATTCAATTCTCGAACGATTTCTCGAATTTTCGAACTTTTATTTCTCAGAATTTCGACTCTTTTTTCGACTTTCGATTTGTTTTCTTCCGAATTCTCGCCCAAAAGCGTTGCC